AATAATATACTGATGTTAGGGCGTATTCTGAGCCCGCATGGATGGGTATCACCACTCTATCAATTTCTAGCGCGAAACAATCATGCTTTCTGGTTTGAAGAGTGAGCACAGCGGTTACACAATACAACTGAAATTTTTGACCTCATTTCTCAAGATGGGCAGCGGAATTAACGCTGTGATTTCTATGGGATTCTATAATCACTGAGAATTCGTCCATCTATGCGTTAATCTGTGCATCTATGCATTAGTCTGTGCATCTATGCATCTTCTATAACGCTGTCGTCGCTTCAACTCTCCAGAACCGACAGCATTGATCTCTCTGGTCGATCGTAGGCTACTGAGGGATCAAATGTTTTTATATATGACTAGCTGTACTCGCCGGCTTCGCTGCGCATTTAAAATTAACATTATTATTTATTATCATTATTATTAGGGACTCCAACACTCATATACATATTAGCCTATCCATTAAGTACATGTATTTTCTACATGAATACCAAGTTTCAAGTCAATCGGATGCATGATTCAGTAGTTATAATGGAGCATCCGTAAAAACCACTGTAGTTTAGTATAGATAATAAATAGTAAATTGGATTTGAGTTATCTTCTTTCCAAGACTTCATTTAAATGTAGTCGTATTTCCGCGCGTTCTAAGCAGACCTTCCATGTCTACGACTCGAACGAAATATGTTTCTAACTCTTTTGTCCGTAGATCTTGTAGCTTGTATGATACTAAGTTCTCTAATGCTGATATCTTTTGTTTATCACTCGTAGCATATAGAAATGCTATTTTGAAATATTTATAAAATGATTTAGTCCGATGAGTGTTTATTAAGTTTTAAAGTATAAGTTGATGTGCGTATGTGCGTATTGTGTTGCTTTTGGGTTATTCTGTTTTTTTGTGTAAACTAATTTAAATTTCTAAATTTCTCTTTATTTCCTTTTTTCACTTTCTACTTATATGTGATTTTGATAATGAAAACTTGTTTGGTTATGGTTTTACCAATTTTTTTAAATGCTATATTGTTTACTTTTTTTTTTGGGTTCCCAAAGAAAAAAAGCCAAATTGCAACGAATGTCCCTTCAATATGTTATAGCTTCTAGTGTAGATGAGCCGTAGCGGTCCGTGTTTCTTAAATATTCAATACAAAACTTGCGGTCAGGATATTATAGGCAGGTAAGTTGTGGCGGACCCAAGGGACCGCTTATTTTGTTATGGCAAAGTAATAGTATCCACCCACAGGGACCGCTCCGGTCCTTAGCCTGTTAATTAGTAGTAGTAAGTAGAAATAATTAGTTAGACTAATGTAATATAAGCTCATAGGAACGCGGGCATACGGCCGTTTGTAATAAAAAAAACGCAAGTCTAGACAATCCGAGCGTTTGACAGTCGCGTGCGGAGCTAACATAATGACAATTACTACGCGCCAAAAACGCTATACAATTGTTTTGTGTTCCCTTTTAAGGGCAGCCTAATGATAGAACAGCGCACTCGTTAAATTTTATGTTATTATATTATATATTCGCATTTTTAATTGTGCTGTGTTCGAAAAGAAACGCCAATTTTGTTTGCCGCGTAGATTTTTCCTTAAGTGCAAAATAAATTACAACCAGATCTTAAATTGAATTGTTATTGCATTTACGATTTCTTTGACCACTAACAATAATATTAGTAAGATGCATAAATATCTAGTCAAACAGACATTACACATTTTTTTGAATGTAAAAAATGACGATGATATGTGTAAGAGGGGAGTGAAGGAAGAAATAGTACATGATAGAGGAGTATGGAAACAGAAAAAATGTTGCGCCGACTCTAGGTGACTGGGAGAAGGGCAGGAGAATGATGATAATGAATAATGTAAAAAAATGCCAACTAGAAACCTCTCTCACTCAATGACTCAAAGGGGATTGCGGAATTTTATATTTAAAGCGCGTATTAGTATTGTAGGGTAGGCAGTAACGTGGTGGTGGTGTCCATAGTCGACTTATCGATTATTTCTCTGAAGCTCATGGAGACTGCTCTACATTCTCTCTCACAATCTCTACATTAGCAATATTTAAAAAGGCCGATTTTCTAATTTACAATAAATTTTCAGTAAATTTACCTAAAGGTTTTTAGAGTACGGCTAGTTTATTTATTGTTAAATTTTCGGGCAATAATGGTACATATTTTTTATATTTACGAATATAATGTCAAAAATATATTGCAAATGTAACATTTATATTCTATGTTCGATTGTAATACCTATTTTTTTCTTACTATAAAAGTGCTCCAAATTCAAACACCGTGCTTTGAAAGTTAGAACATAGGTCCCTATGCGTACGACACAGCCGAGCCAACGCAGACGCGAGGTCTATCTAATTAATTATATTACGCTAAGTCAACAGCTTATTACCCCACCTTAGTAACTAAAGCTCAATCAATTAGTTACAATAGTTTCTAATTGCAATATGATATTACATAAAATACAATAGGTATGTTTACGAAATTTTATATGAATGAACGAAAAGTCTTTGAATTCTTGATTTTCTTCGATATTCATGATTCGTAGACCAATTTTGAAAGTACTTTTAGACTGACCATCTTACGTACACTGTAAAGTATTTTTTAACGTCAGAAACAATGTAATCTATACTAATATAAATCTACAGTGGTTTTTACGGAAGACTTTATTTTATTTTATTTTTTTATTGCTTAGATGTGTGGACGAGCTCACAGCCCACCTGATTAAGTGGTGATTAAGTGGTTACTGGAGCCCATAGACATATACAACGTAAATGCGCCACACACCTTGAGATATAAGTTCTAAGATCTCAGTATAGTTACAACGGCTGCCCCACCCTTCAAACCGAAACGCATTACTGCTTCATGGCAGAAATAGACGGGGCGGTGGTACCTACCCGTGCGGACTCAGAAGAGGTCCTACCACCAGTAACTAACAGTTCCGTTATAACTACTGAACCATGCATCCGATTGACTTGAAACTTGGTATCCGTGTAGAAAATACATGTATTTAATGGATAGGCTGATAGCTATATGAGTGTTGGACTCCCTACACCAGTTGCGGGGGCGTTAATGATGAGAATCTTTGTGGGGGTGAGAAATAATAATGTTAATTTTAAATGCCCAGCGAAGCGGACGGGTACAGCTAGTAAGAATATAAAACGTGCGATAAAAACAGTTTTAATTATATATTAGTTTTTAATTCAAGGACAACAGTAGTCAAGGATTTTTTTCCTATATTGGTGGACGAGCTTACGGCCCACCTGGAATTAAGTGGTCACCGGAGCCCATAGACATCTACAACGTAAATGCCGCCACGCACCTTGAAACATGAGTTCTAAGCTCTCACTTGTAACAATACAACCGTTGACCCCCCTTCAAAATGAAACGCATTAGTGCTTCACGGTAGAAATAGGCGGGGTGGTGGTACTTACCCGTGTGGACTCACAAAACGTCCTCCTCCTCCAATAAACGTGACGTCACATATGAGAGTGGTCGTATAACTAAGTCGAGAGAACAAAAACACACATACTCTGCCCACGTGCTGGACTTAAATCTGTAAAAACACTTCTTTTTACAAATGTATCGTAATAGATTTTTCTAGAACACGTTTTTTTTGTCTTCTTCTAAATGTTCGTCATAGTAGCCATCATAACTCGGGTCATTAGATTAGGTTAATTACAAAATCGCTTTGAAGCCTATATGTCATTAATTCATATAAATGTATTTCTCCAAAGTACTTCAAAATGTTAAATCTAATAATAGCATTTTAATTTGATACATTAAGTGAGTTATATTAATACGCAAATGTTTATTTAAACGCCTACTAGCACGTAGTTGAGTTGTCAAGATAAATTTGATTGAGTAGGTACTATAAAAAAGACGCTATGAAAAAAATTACATCCGAAGTCGTCGTGGCCTGGAGGATAAGAGGCCCGGTGAACTCGTATCGAGCAGGGCGACTGTGCCGATGTTCGAATTCCGCAATCAGCTAAAAAAATTTTTTAAGAAAAATGTTCTTGTTCGCCGTCGACTTCCACGATAGATTAATGGTAATGATAATGGATGAGTGTAATTTCTATTGAATCTATTCTATGAAACCTGCAAAATTTGCGTAATTACTGGGGCATACGTGGGGCATAGTGCAAACCTTGAATTGAGATTTCGACCTTGTGTCAAGAGATAGGTGACGTCATTCATATAATGTCGGTAGGGGTAACATTGGTTAAGTAATATCATTACTAACTTACCGCTATAGTAAAATAATCGTTTGATAGGAGTGAAATGTTAATCAATTCATGATACAGCGAGATGTCCCTAAGTGCATCCGCATATTTATATTTGTAGTTTAAAAGTATAAATATACGCTTACATAGCTTACTTAGAAAACCGAATTAAAAATTAATTATTATTTTTTATCCTGTTTGGTCAGGATATTAGAGCGAAATAATAATAAAAAAATGCATGTATTGTCTTGAGTTCTTGAAGCCTGTCCAAGTTTCAAGCCAATCGGTGTTTCTTGAAAATTCGGTGAAAATCACGTTCAAAGATTCCGTTAAGAATAAACAGCATACATACATATCTGGTTTTTGTTTATTAAAATGCGTGTTCTAAATTTAAAAAAAAATTCCCGGTAAAATTCATTGATAAAAAAAATATAAAAATTTTTTTTTTCAACAAATTGATAATTTTCAAAATGAATATTTATTTTATTCTTATTTGTCATGTTTGTTTAAATTAATTTCCGTAGTCAGCGTGTGTTTAGGTGTGCTAGGTTCGACCGCGCCTGCGAAAATCACCCACTGAGTTCGCGATCAGGCGACTCAGTTCCACAAGCCAGTCCGGCGTTACCCGCGCGTTGTGGTGGTCTTGCTATCAATTACATAAAAAAAAAATGATCTGTCAAAATTGGATTCGTAATTCGAATGTCGAAAATAAATTTTAAAATTGAGTGATTGAATTCTATTGTTTTTTTTTTTAAATTTCTGGTCGGACAAAATTGTTTTTTTTTGTGTATGTTTTTTTTGTGATGTTAATGTTTGATAAACAATTTTATTAGTATAATTTGATTGAACACATACAGTGTGGAGTTCGATATTTTTTGGAAGCAACAAAGAATTAGCGGTAAGCTTTTTTTCCTTTCGTAAACTAAATTCTGTTAAATTTCCTTTTTGATCAGCTGATGAATAGAAGTATTCTATAAAAATTTTAGGTTTAGTTAATAAAGCACGTATCATTGTAAAAGACGGCACGTCACTTCCGGTTCGCGGCAGGTGCCAAGGTCAAGCACTTCCGCCAAATTTGGCAACATTCATATCTATTGAACTATTGTTTTACTATCTCAATGGCGATCTGCTATCCTTATTGAAATTAAGTTATACAATCTGCGTCATTCCATTATAATTAATATGTCGGTTTGATCATGCAAATTAAATTTGATTAAGTAATTAGGTACACATAATTAGATACAAATAGCATTCTTGTAATGATATGCGAGTATGTAGGTTATGTAGGAGTATGTTGTTATTTATGAATATAAAAAAAAATTTTTTTTTTAAATTACTCCGCTTTTATCTGTAATAAGAGCTGTTGAGAATTAAATTTTTTTTTATTATAGCAAATATTTGTTTTTTTTTTATGATTGAAAGATTACTGCTGGCCCAGAGGCATTTCCAGTTTCACCAGGACAGGTAGCAAATATTTGTCTGTTGCCAACAGTAAAATTTTACATTTAGTGTTGCATTTATGTACCTATATATTTTGTACTTCACAGATTTTTTTTAACATAAACTATTTATTTTTTAATGTGTCTTAAAATTGACATTTACTAAGCAAGCTATGTTTATAGATTACATAAAATAATACAGGATCCTTTGTCAGGATCTATTGGATTATTGGCTGTAACGAAGATGAGCGTTGCTTGGACATGAAAATATTATTTTAAATGCAAAAATAATAATAAAAAAGAAAAAAATCTACTAAAATAAAATGAGAATATCATCAGTATAGCCGGAGTCAATTAAATATCCATTATTAAGAATAACTCAAAAACTACTTACTACTGGTCAGATCTTGACAAAATTTAAAGGCGACCACTACGAGCATAAAACAAGATTCATCAGAATCACCTTGGAAAACAGTTCTGAGGTAACACACATACAAAATAATCGAATTGAGAACCCTCTTTTTTTTAACTCGGGTAAAAAAATCACGTCCCAAAATGTCTGTTAAAGTTAAAATACAAGTGACGTATGGAATCTCGTGTTTTGAATTTTGAGAGCATGGGGGCCGAATGTCAGCTGTCTTCTTGACGCTTCTTTTAAAAATAAACAACAAAACAGGATAAGGTATCGTTCCTATATACTCTGTGGACGTTATCGATATTAAAAAATAATCATTCGCTAAAGTTTTTTTTCTTAAATATTAAAAAAGTCGCGTGCCAGCTATCCAAAAGAATGAAATCGCGAAAACTCCCCGCCACTCGAGAACAGCTACGGAAACGTTTTGTTTTGTTTGCGCTCAATCGAATACCTAATTTAATTTGAATAAATAAGCAAGTTGGCTTTATTCCAATGGCAATCTCACCGAGACCGATCCGTTAGCACCTGTGAACCGCACCGGCCGGGGGCGTGACGCGTCTTAATTTTTTTTTAAATACGCTTCATATTTTCTATTTTAGTACTTCTGAGGCATTCACACAAATTGCATTTTGTTTTTATTGCATTAGAAGAGGTCAGTGCCTTAATTTATGGTTGGCAACACACACTGGTCATAGACTTTTGTGCTTTTACAGCGGTATTCGCGTTTTTTTTTTATTGCCCTTGTAGACAGACGAGCATACGGCCCACCTGATGGTGAGTGGTTACCGTCGCCCATGGACTTCAGCAATGCCAGCGGCAGAGCCAAGCCGCTGCCTACCATAAAGTACTCTCCGTAAGCCTCGTTTGAAGAACGAGAGAACGCTTGTGGAGAGTATTAAGCGGTAAAGCGGCAGCGGCTTGGCTCTGCCCCTGGCATTGCTGACGTCCATGAGCGACGGTAACCACTTACCATCAGGTGGGCCGTATGCTCGTCTGCCTATAAAGGCAATAAAAAAAAAAAAAACAAGCCTCGTTTGAAGAAGGACATGTCATAGCGTTCGGGAAACACCGTGGAGGGGAGCTCGTTCCATAGCCGGATGGTACGTGGCAAAAAAGACCTCTGGAAATGCGAAATCCTCTCGTGATGCGAAGATTCTAACGCAGCTCTTCGAACATTACAGATTATTTTCTATAAGGCAACATTGAATACGTTCACACATCACAAAACGGTTAAGTAAAATTTTGTTCTCTTATTCTCAACCGATTTTCTTACGTACATTTTGTATTAAATCTAAAAAAAAATTGTGAAAAGTTTTTTCTTTTTCAAAAATCGACAACACACTTACTTATGTACCACTTGGCTAAAAGCCCGAGTGGTTGTTCTTTAAGAAGAAATGCTTTTTCAATAACTAAACAAAAGTAATCTATATTGCGAACAATGGACATAAACTACTAGTTCAATTGAATTATCGTTCTAGATTCAATCAGAAGAAGATTAAATATTCAAATTAATAATTGAAAACATGATATGGAATCGACAATAAAGTGTCGGTGATATTTCAAAAAAATTCTGAAGTCGTCGTGGCCTAAAGGATAAAACGTCCGGTGCATTCGTTTTGAGCAATGCACCGGTGTTCGAATCCCGCAGGCAGGTTCCAATTTTTCTAATGAAATACGTACTCAACAAATGTTCACGATTGTCATCCACGATGAAGGAATAACATCGTGTAATAAAAATCAAACCCGCAAAATTATAATTTGCGTAATTACTCGTGGTAGGACCTCAGGTGAGTCCGCGCGGGTTGGTCCAACACCCCGCCTATTTCCGCCGTGAAGCAGTAATGCGTTTCGGTTCGAAGGGTGGGGTAGCCGTTGTAACTATACTGAGACCTTAGAACTTATATCTCAATATGGGTGGCGCATTTACGTTGTAGATGTCTATGGGCTCCAGTAACCACTTAACATCAGGTGGGGTGTGAGCTCATCCATCAATCTAAGCAATAAAAAAATTTTATTCTACGTACACAATATATTGATTGGAGAATCCAAAGCTCCATTTGAATAACGCCTGACCTTTGTGAGTTTACCTATTTATCGAGCTTGAAATAGTGCAACTATGATATGGGAATAGTTCCATATCAGGGCCCGAAGGAGAAATGTTTCCCCTAATTTAATTAAGTCTTCATACACCACTCTACTTATTTCTACCGCAGTAAGCGCCGATTTGCAGAGTGGCAGAGCTGTTATACTATACAATTGACAGTTGACGCTTTTGAAATGTGGTGTTGTCGCCGCCTATTAAGGATTCCATGGACAGCCCACCGCACGAACATCTCGGTCCTACATCAGCTTAAAATGGAGAACGCTCAACGCCTGTCTGCCATCTGTCTGCAACGCATAATGCGCTACTTTGGCCACGTTGCCCGCAGAGGTGTAGACAACTTGGAACGTCTGATGGTCACTGGAAAAGTAGAAGGAAAACGTCCTAGATGCCGGAGCCCCAAACGTTGGTCCGACCAGATCTCCGAGCAAACCAGCGGATCACTTAGCGCTGCACTACACCAGGCAACTGACCGAATCCGATGGAGACTGGCAGTCGACAAGCTCAAACGGAGTCACGATCCTCAGCAATGAGGGAGCGATGGAGAAGAAGAAGAAGAATCACACATCTCAAGGTGGTGTGGTCCATGGGCTCCGGTAACTAATTACAACAAGAAGAGTTGCGAGCAGATAATACCGTACCATCGTCTTTAGTTTTACATCAATATATTTATGCTAATAAAAAAAAAGTTCGCAGATCGTAAGAGTAAATTCGAAAATTATGCAAATTTATGTCTTAAATACGCTTTATTATTTAATTTTAATTAGTTTGAATTTATTTTTTAAATACTATTTTTCCATTTTATGGAAAAAAGTATTTAAAAAATAATATTTTTAATTTAAATAATAGTATTTAAATAATAATATATAATATTTTTATTTGTTTTTTAAACCACGTTGCCCATTTACGTCCAATTTCATTTATCTATGCGTAGCATCATCGTTTCCGCTAAATTTTCTCATAAAGAAAACTGACACAATATTACTCAAAGGAACACGTTGCAGACACAATATTTTTTTGCATTAAAAGTGTTTTACATTAATCATTCTGACACTTTTGTGCACGTTTTCCCGAACAAATAATGTTAGGCAAATTTAAAATAATATTTATATTAGATTTATATGTACGTGGCTCTGATACTCGCGCTAGACGACGAAATAAAAGGTTGATATGTATTAAAAACATTTGTTAGATTTTTACACATGGCTGGTTACAAAAGTGATATTACCCAAAAACAGCATTTAGGGAATAAATCAAACAAAGCAATTATTATGCAAGTTGTATTCGTAGTAAATTTATCACCTTATGTATTTACATAGAATTTTTAAGCTATTGCATAGCTTCTATCGCGGGCCTTAACCGCAGCGACTGGATCAAGAAATTCCGTAACGAAAATAACCTGACACTCCCACTACGCCTACTATGTAGCTCGCATTCAACACATTCACATGTTGCGCTTGTGTAGTGTTTGTGAATAAGTTGCACTCCCGCATGCACATCATGAAATTAAGTCTGCCCATATCTCCCTCGCGCGGTCTAGGTTATGAGTGTAAAGGGGACAGTTAATGTTTTGCTTTTGTTAATGTTTATAAATATAGTGTGGTCTTATTTAATTGTTGTTTTAATATTAAATTATTATTGTCGATTTATAATTGCATAAGTTGATAAAAAATGCTATGCAATAGCTGTACCGCGGCAGTCTCCGAGTGCCACACGTGTTTTTTTTTCCTTTTTAATGTTTTTCAATTTATTTCTCATGTCTTCTACGGATAGGCTGTTGGCAGTGACCGCTTCCATTAGCTGTAGGTATGTAACGGATTGTAATTTAGAAACTTTTTAAATCTGCTGCAAGAGAGCGCGCAAAGGGGTCGAGACGGTTTTTTTATATATTTTTTTGTTTCGATCGATGGACGAGCTCACGGCCCACCCACCTGATGTTAAGT